TGAGGTCCTTCCCCAAAAGCACATTGAACAAAGATGGAATACAGGTCCATTAAAATCCAGTAAATTTCATTGGACTGCCGTTAAACCAGTTGCCTAAACACACCCCAATTAATTTTATGTTCCAGTTGTACCACGTAGTTTCCTGTTGGTGGCTTGTATTTTCATCATGGCAACACCCCGTATGCTAGCTCAGTCTGCAAAAGTTGATATCTTTTCATGAGATAGCGCAGGTGGGTCACGACAAAAACATTGACTGCAACAGGTGGTATCTTTTTAAGGCACAGGTTGGCCTCAGATTAAAGTTTGCCAACGTTTTTCTCAATCAAAATCGCCCAAGCATGACTGCGACGATATTTGACTATTCATTCAATGGAAAAACACGAGCAGCGACATTGGTAGTCAGATATTCCACATCCGTTAAACAGTATGTGCAGAGATGCTCCAGATACTCCTCGAGATCCAGGAGGCACAACGGATGAATCTACCGCCTGTGGTCGCTTTCCTGTCGATGTTATCGACGGTGATACGTTCCATCTCAAGTCTGAGACGCCCTTGGGGTCTTGAACGTTCGCTGGCTTCTCTACGTGGACGTGGTCCTTCGTACTACCTGACAGCATAAAGTCCAGTATCGGCAGGTCGGACGAGTGCAAAGTCACTCCCTGGCGGCCTTAAGCTGGTGTGCGCTCCAGGAAAATGATCCACCAGCCGATCGCGTGAAACCCGTGCCGTGTGCGCTGTCACCCCTCCAGCTGGAGCCACTCCTCGTTCCGAACAATTCCGTGAATTTGCCCCAAGAACGCCCGGTAAGATATCAGAGCGGTGGAGGTGCGACGCTCTGAGGCGGTGCTCCTCAGAGTCTTTGTTCCCGTCCTCAGAGCAATGCCCCGCAGTCTTGATTGTGCGATAAACACACTTGCATCTGTTGAGTAAAGGGTAGATTTACTTTTATATGGATCAGCCTGTACATACGAGGGTTTCATTTGTAGGCAGCCTGTTTGTTTAATCTGTCTTCGAATTCTATGCAGCCTTAATACTGCTGTATTGTAAAGTCGAGATTTTAGGGCACCATCGGAAGACCTCACCCAATGTTCTGCGTATCAGTTCACATGGAAAACATCTAGCAATACTACGTTCACACTACTAGAGAGAGGGATCATAAGATTTACACACCAAAATCTAGTCCGATCCTTTTAACAGATGCGCTCCTGCGGTGAGCGCCCGTGCTCAGCGCTGTCTGTTGCGTACGCCCTGATCCCTCCATTCTGTCGTAAAACTTCATACCAGCTGCAGAATGCTGCGACGAAGGCCTACCGTGCCGCAGTACACGCCACGACCCGCCCTGGATCAGTGACGTCACCCGACCGTCAGAGCGGTCGCAGTCACCGGCCGCGGGCCATCCCAGTTAAGAAGAAACAGCGAACGCCGTGAGCGGCTGGAGCCCACCCCGCCACTGGCAACCGAATCAGAAGGCAGGCGGTCTATCCAACTGAAATGTCGGGACGGGTTGCAGAGCATTTCGTGACGAGACGGTTTAAAGAGCAGTTCGGTGGTGCATCTCCTGCCTGGTTGTACTACAAATAATGGTGTAGAATGGTATCGCAACATTTGTTGCAGTGTGCTCCAGAGCCGAAGAAATATTGGGGTGGTGTTGACCGATTTTCATGAAGAAATCAGACCATAAGCACAGTTTGCAAACGTTTTGTAATAAGTTGAGTCTTCTCAGCATAGCGAACACTTTAATGGTAACGTCGTTTCATCACAAACTCCTGGCGTCGCGTCGAAAACGAAGGTCGATTATTTTTATCATGAAAGCTCCCAACCCATTACGCTGAAACACCAAGAGATCAAAGCCTTTCTTACTTTTTCAACTTCCAACAAGTGTCAAACGCTGGTTGCGCTACCTTTTCAAACGGTCACAGTGGTAACCGTCCAGTCGTCAGTGCTTAACTTCTTTCTCCTTGCTATCTACATGTAGTTTGAGAAGGTTGCGCAGTTCAGATTCATTTGTACATGGGTGCATCCTGGCAGTGTACACGATTTCGCTATAACTTCTCTGTACGAGTCAAGTCATGCCATTCTGCAAAAGACTGTTCTTTTGCGTCTTGGGCCACCACTGATGGACAAAAACGACATCCGTTGTTGTCTACGGTAACCGGTTGATTTACTAAGATTTTCCCCCTTTGAATTCTTACCATCTTCTGAGATGATTACCAAAAAGCAGCTTCGCCTTGGCTGTCACTGTGAAGACATTCATCAGCATTATCATTTTTGGAATCGACTGAACCTCAACAAAACTAAAAGTTCACATGGGGCGCAAATCAAAGCGTCCGAAATCTGTGGTGCAATCCGGATTTGGGGGAGGCCGGGTCAACTTAATCGACTGAGCCCTTCAACCGATTTTAGAAGAAGACGTCTGTGGTCGCAGCATTTGCCCATACTCGGACGGCCATTTTAAGCCTGGGATCTTATTTTCGTAGATTTGGTCCTTCATTCATGTTTTAGGAGCCCTACCGACATTTTAAGCTCCCAAAAGTGCTGAGGCCCACTCCACCTCCAGTGTGGGGGCGGGGGGAGGGGGCATGACTCAAAGGCTCTCTCCGCCATTGACTACGCTCCTCCAGCTGTGAATGGTTGGAATTCCAATGCTGTAAGGCGAGGCGCAAAGAACATAAGTATATTTGAATCCCTCTTAGTCCTCTTGCACAGACGTTCCAGCTTTGATTTGATATCGGGGATGGTTCCGAATCTGCTGGTTTGAATGATACCGAAATTAGAAAGTCCACATGTAATCTGATGCCATGTGAGGTACATTTGGGGCTGGACTGGCTGAATAGTCGAGTTGCCAACCGCATGTTTCCTCTATGAGACCCTGTATTGTCGAATAACGCGAGCCTTTTTGACGGAAGTACGTGCTCTGTAGCTAGGGGATACAAAGCTCGGTTGCTACTTGTGCAGCTTAAGGTATTTCTCAAAATTCAAGATGGCAGCCGCCGCCATTTAAAATGCTGATCCAGTTTCAAAGTTGTTTTTTTTTTCTCGATCAGCTGGAAAGTCGTGCGAGACGGTTTTGGAGGGATTTTATCTGGTAGTGATTTCATGTCTGGCATTGTTTTACAGGCATGGGGTCCAATTTAAGGTCAAATCGGGATTCAAAGGTCAAAGATGATCATGAATAACGAAAATCAACCTCCATTGACCGATATATGTCGCTCATTGTAAGGCTACCCGCTCACAGAAGAGAGTGTGCTCTACATCATAATCATATGAACATGTGCTACATATACGATGCATGTGCTATAGAATGCGTTTTTCACCTGATTGGGTACGTGTAGTCGGGCTGCCATTCGTATGCTTCTTATATAAGACCTTACAACGTCAACTGCCGCTAACTTTTGGCGGAAATGTTCTAATTACCCAGCTTAATGTAGCTAAGAGAGCCAAATTACCTTGTTTGACAATTGCGTAACTTTGGGCATTTCTCAGCATTCAAGATGGCGACCGTCGCCATCTTGAATGCTGGTTTAGTTTTAAGGTCTTATCTCGACGACTCAGAGGGCTAGGCAATACTGTTTATGATGAGTTCCCTTATTGTATAGAACATATTTTCGTTAAAATGTCTGCGGCGGTCAATATTGCTGGGTCAACATTTTAGCAGCTTGCCTAGGACTACTGTCCAGGCGTGAAGCCTACAACTACAGGCTTTTCTGCCGTTTGATGGCAAGTTATAAGCGGAGTTTCATGATCAAGAGAGGCACGTGCGATAACCAGGTGGATTAAGCTCATTGGGATCAATGGGACGAGTGGGATGAAAGACGTCATCGTACGGTTTAAGACACAGAGTAAGGTCCCAGGGCAGCATGGATATCGTCAGATTAGCCGCAGATATGGGCATACATGGGCATAGGTGCATGCATAAATATCTGAACGTGTGTATTCATGTACGTGCGTTAACTGCTTTTTTATTTTTAGAGCCCTGTAACCCTTGTGGTCGTCAGTTTTACCGGAGCGTTGGTTCCAAGCGAAAGGCTTAAATGTTGAAAGATGTCCGAAGACGTCAGCGAAACACTTAACGGTGAAAGGAAGGTGACAGATAAAAAAATATCTGAAGACATCACCAATCCTTCAAACAGCAGTTCAAACGAATTTGAGGTTAGAGTAAAGAGGCCAGATGATCTGACAGAATGGGAAAGCCAGGAAGATATGTTGGACGAGGACGAACACATCTCACGGCATGGTAAGATATCCCTCTCGACTTGCACAAAGATAGCGTATGTCACACAGCTGTTGGTAGTTGCCCTGGCCTTAACAGCCTTTTCCTTTGCACTCTCTTCTAGTTTAGTTAAACTGAAGTCGCGTCACATCCTTGAGAGCAAACAGTCAATCTTTCAAGATGAACCATGGTTCAAGCTAGCCATCTGCCTGAGACCTTTCTTCACGCCATCGGCGTTGGACGAATTTTATAGAGTGCACTTAAAAAAGGATTTGAAATCGTACATTGACAGCCTAAAAAAGCCGACATCATGGAGTGAAAAGACGTGGCTGGATGTCACACTGCAGCCTAAGAGCTATACAACATATTTTCAAAAAGTGCATCCCTGGGACAAACTCCCAGCAAGTGAGCTGTGGACGTACCAAAACAACAGTTTTCGAAAGGCTTTCCAGGAGTTTAAGGTCAACAAGCTACGCCTGACATCCAAGGTGAAAGGTTCATCGGCATGGGCGGATGAGGATGACAACAGCTATACCGTCTTGACAACCAAGAAGAAACAGGGATTAAACAAGGCAGACTATGCTCTTTTGGGGCACTACTCCCTGAGTCCCTTTTACGCAGGTTGTTTAAACATCACCGTCAATGAAAGCATGTCCAAACGACAGATGGAGGTCAGTGTGAGAGTTAAGAACACTGTGCCTTCGAAGCTGGCACGGAGCGATCCAAATGCCAAGCGTATCGTCCTCTTCAAGGCGGCCGATCTTTTTGTTTATGATGCAACTGACGTTTTCACAGAAATACCAATTATTCAAAAGTTTAGCAAATTTAGCATACACTCAAACACATTCGAACGTCTTCTGGTAAAAGGCTTCAGTTATCACAGAAAACGAAGTGAACATAAGCATTGTAGAGATCATAAGGGCTATTCGCAAACCAACTGCCGGCAGTGGTGTATAGCACGAAAGCTCTTAGAAACGGTGGAGTGTATTCTACCATGGATGCAAGATATGGTACAAAAGCCTTGGATGGATGAAAGGCTCCAGAACCTTGCTGTCTGCACGGATGCTGAAAGCTTCTTGCAGACGCTTGCTATTCAGGATAAATATTTTCATTCAAACGAAGCCAACTTGACCCGACCCGTCATAGATTGCCTCAAGAGTTGCCCAGATCGGTGTTCTGCGTTCAAGGTAAGCATGCTAGGTAATGGAGAGTATTTTGTAATACAAAAAAATACTTGGCGCCAGGACCATTAATGCCGCACGGATGTCGACATTTAGTGAATTCGTGTTGTGGGGATGTTGCAATGTCTGTACGTGATCCAAGCTGCTGCGGGACGATGATTTCGTGAAAAAACCCGTACCACTTATTTGTTATTAGTACATCGGCATGGACAGATTAGCCATCGCTTGAAATCATTATATCCTGCTGCAGCGAAAAATCATTCTCCATACTATCTCATGGGCTGAATTACGCTGTAAAATACCCGAGGCAGTTGTAGTAATGGCGGTCAAGCCATGGGCACCGGGATTTTCACGTGTTATTAGTGGCGTAGTCAGGAGGAATGGGATAAGGTGAAGCTTTTGCCTGGAGGCCATTACCAGTCGCTAGAAAGACTGCGTCTCCCATTTCCCCGTAACTGCAGCTCGACTGATTGTCACAGATATCTGTTCTGCAGCGTGTTGTCTGACATTTTTTCTGACATAATGTCATATCATGAGATGCAACGTACAGATTTGAATCGATGTAGTATCATGGACTTCGGAGCCAGTGACTGCATTTCGGTGCCTCACCTTGATCGCTTCTCAGGTTACCCTGCTGTCGCTTGGAAGCAAATCAATCGGCAGCAACTACGGCATAAGCCTGACCATCTCCCCAGAAGTGGAGTCCGTCACGGAACAGTTCGACTACACCTTCCTGAACATGGTGGCCGAACTGAGCGCATCCATCAGCTTCCTGCTCGGCCTCTCCGCCATCGCCATTTACGACTGGCTGATCGCCTTCGGCGTCTGGGCGGCCGTCAAGCTGGGCATAAAGAAGTGCGGCGGCCACAAGGACGACGAAAGCACCTCGACCGCCAGTCCGGAGGCGCCAACACCTCCGATCCCGCCCGTGCTGCGGGTGCCGTCGCACATAGAAGGTGCGGCGTCAGCGACCGGGCGGCACAGCAGCGGCGCAGGCCTGCCCTGGCACCTGGACCCCGACGCCCCGAAGGCCGGCGGTCACAGGGCGACGCCAGAGGGCAAGAGGAGTCGTCACCAGCACCGCCGCAGCGGCGTCACGCCGGTCACCAGCGGGCTGACGTCGTCGAAGCCGGCCGCCGGCAGCGCCTCGGATCACGCCACACCGAGCGACGCCTCTCCGGAGCCAGACCCCGCAGCGTGATGGGCCGACGAGACGAGGCGGGACGGCCCCGGGCGCGACCTGTCGGAGGCGGACTCCGGGTGGTCGGACCTCGACTTTGGGCCGTCTGTCCGACCAGAGACCGCTGGTGGTGACTTATCGGTTAGATGCATATCTCTCACTGTGTGTGTGGAATTTTGGTGGCAACTGCATCATATTTGTCTTTACTGCAGATGCTGTATTTGTTGTGCTGCTGGACGTTCAGTGTCCTGACCTGCGCTGTAGTGGGCGCGTTGGTTTGTCCGCTGAAGCTCATCCTAGCGTAGACGCACTCTTCGGTTCGACGATCTAAACTGGTGCATTGCAGTAATCGCCGCCGAGGTAATTTCCCAATTTATCGTGTTGCCCTTTTTGAAGCGTTCAGGCCTTTCTACAGACTTCCATCAGCGTTTTACTCATGTTCCATTTGAGGTGTCCAGTGGTATGGTTGTTAGCTGGGATCAATACATAATTGTGCTTTCTGAAGTATTTACGCGCGACTCCTTAACAGCAAATGCAAGCAGATGAAATTATACGCGATGCGTCGCTGCTATCCACGGATTCCGCGTGAGTGATCAGCCCTGCATTCTTGACGGAGCTCCTCTCGGAATCGGTCTCATGCGTAAACAATGTAGCAAAATTGTTAAGTAATGTAGTAAAAAAGTATGCGTGTAAAACGTGTGTGTCGGGGGGTCTCATACTGAAAGCAATCGTGTTTCAATGCATATTGGTGTTTCGTGATTATATGCTATGTGGAGAATAGTACAGAATACCTGATGTAGTACAAAACAATGCTTTTGTATGAGGTGGGGTGGTTCAGGCATAGGAGATTTGATCGACGGCAAGACTGTTACCAGTATGTAGGGAACATTTCGCTATTGAAGATAATAAAGCAATCATCAGACTTGATGAAATGAGCTCACTTATATCTATTGGTATACTTTTAATTGGAAAAGGTTGCTGTAGACAACATAAGTTCTCTTTTTTATTAAATATGATCCTCAATTCGTCATTGTTTGATTAGATCATTGTACCTTGCCCCACATTGATTGGGAACCAATTGGCGGTAGCTATATCTAAAATCGTGCTTACGAACGCCAGATATAAACGACTTTACAATTACATTTGTCTTGGCCTTGACCGTCGCATGGCCAATGGAATGGCAAAATTTGAATCACGTTTGTTATGGCATTACGGATGCATGGGTGACCTTGATATAGTCTCCCAGAAGAAGTCTGCACATCTTTGCGGGTGTGTGGCTCATGAACAGAGGGGCTCAGGTTTTAAGAAGGGCGGGGCTCTGAACTGCACCAAATGATCTTCACGATGATCATTTCAGTTACAAACCCGTAGAAATGTGGAACACTCCCTTTAACGCAGTGAAACGTCGATTCCAGATTTTTTCCGGTTGAATGGTGCATGGAATCGGTCCACCGAGTAATCTCAAAACGTTCCTGTTAACGGATCATATAGATATAAAATGTAGCGTTCCATCTGCCTAAAATTATAAGACAACGCAGCCGAACAAAATGCAGGGTGTTTCACCGGTTATAGAACTTCTGTAGCAGTGGCCCTTGGGAGGAAAACTCAGCAACGTGGAAAAGGGTGTTATAGGATCTCTCTATATAGATATAGAAAAAAGGTCTGGCTGCATGTAGAGCTGTGAATATCGATGAGTATTATCGATGTTTTCTTTGTTATCGTTTATCAACAAAATGCATGATAATCACAGATCATTTCCTGTTCATTTAAATTGCAAGCGATCTGTGGCCTAGCAGTCATCACTGAAGTTTGTTTTTAAGCACAAGTTGCGTCTCGTGAACTGCCGATGCATCATAAGCTTGACATACAAGGCAACCCAAAAACAAAGATGCTTTTTAGATTCATTCGCCGCTGTCATTCTGGCTCCCCTTTCCCTCCCTCCCCTAGCGGTGGAAGCCCTGTAAAGAACGCTTCGCTGAATGTACCACACATTGGTTCGCTCATAAGCGAAAAAGACAAAGACGCAGGCTGAGGCCGAGCTCAGATCCCCTGCAGGTCCTCATTACCCGGACACCACAGTGGCTGAAGGCTGGAAGATCTTGACGGAGGAAAAACTGTCATCCACATTAGCAAATTTTACGTTGATGTGTTCAAACGCTTTGGTGTGCGCAAACTATGGATTCGGCTGTTTTGGAGCGTTTTACAGCATGGTGTCAGAACCCTGCAATGGCGGCAGATGAAAACGTGCAACTTATTTCGTGTTGTAGGCGTGTGTACTGGCTTCCAACTCACTGAAATAATCAAAGCTGTCAGACTCATGTGCACGCAAGTAATCGACCAAATTATTATCTTCCGAGAATGAACACGAACTGCATGGCCGACAATGAAACCTAGCTTATAAATCTACATCGGCGTAAACCTCTATCATTATAACCAATATGCACCCCAAATATTTGTACTTTTAGATTTTGGTACATTTATATTTCGCGATTACCTTGTTTTCCACAATTCTTCGGTCATTATTACCAGAACTATAAGCCGTAGCATGCCCAGGTGCGTCGACTCGGAGTTTGAAATGGGGGGCTGACCTGTTGTGTCAGAACAACGTTTATTCACAGTACGAATGTGTTAGCTGCGCAAGTGCTGCCCACTTCCATATGCAAGCTGCAAAGATCAGATGACGCTGTCTCGTTAGCTGACTTAGAAGTAACTGTAGACCTGTAGGAATGAGAGACACTGCACCAGTTTGAACGGAAATGACACCGGATTTATGATGGCTGAAGCTGACAGAAGATATTACCCTGCTAACAATGAATGAGCTTTGCTGCTCTAGCGCGCGTTGCTATCGCAATTTCGCCAAAAAGGGTTGTGATGAAGACTGCTTTCCTCCCAAAATGAAGGTCAGGTGGGCGACTGAGCCGGTGCATCATCTAGAAGAGAGAACCGCTATCAAAAAAGGAAGCACTAGCGAGGGGAGCACTGGGAGCTTCTCCAACAGTTTTGCCTCCTGCGGTTGACGACTTGTAATCCACTGCTGGAGGAAGCGTGCGGCTGTGAACAGCTATGGAAGTGCCCCGGTGGCCTGGAGACGGCAGGCTGCTGGACTCGAACGGCTAGCTGAGATGTACTCGCAGTTGGCCGAGGTTCCGTTCGGGTCTCCCGTCGCCGGTCCTGCCGGGAGCTCCTGGGAGCTGCGCGCACGGGCCGCTGGTTGGGCGTCTGACGCTTCGTCAGTGCGTCAGGCCGCCGCCGTCCACCGGCAACGAGGCGCCATCGGCTCCGACTGCCGGCTCTTGGCGCGCATTGGCAACTCGTGTGAAGCACAGGTGTCAGAGAGTCGCTCTGGTCCATGCCTGGGGAGATAAAGTCGCGTCGGCAAGAGTTTGACGACGGGACGGAAAAGTCAGGTTCGCTCCTTGTTCGCGGAGTACAGTGAAACTTTCAGACACGACTGAGTATTTAATGGTATTTTACATTTCAAAAAATCATGCGCCTCAAACGGGTCATTTCTTCTGTCACCAGTCTCCGGCCATTCCGCACGCACGCACGCACGCACGCACGCACGCACGCACGTACGTACGTACGTACGCACGCACGCACGCACGTGCGCACGAGCGCGCACACACACGCCACTCTGGCGTCACCTCATCATCCTCCACCCAACTATCCCCATACCCCCACGCACCACTCTGGCGTCACCTCATCATCCTCCACCAAATATCCCCAGACCCCCACGCATCACTCCTGGCGCCACCCTCATCATCCTCCGTCCAACTATCCCAAACCCCCACGCACCAACCTGGCGTCACCTCGTCGTCCTCCCCCCACAGCTGTCCAGCGCCGCTGGGGCGAGCCTGCCGGCCCGCTCGGCTTCCGCCGGGAAACGCAGTAGTACCCACAATCGCGGACGAAACAGCATGCCCCCCCCCCCCCCCTCCCTGCAGTAGCATCAAACGTGTTCGCGTCAACGGTCGAGAAGGCCCGCTTTAGACGGAGACGTAGTGTGTCGAGTCGGTAAATAGTGTTATCCATACCCGCTGCGCCGGCCTCCCAGCCCGTCTCTGATGGAATCGCTGCAGAATCGCTGGGAATCCGTGGGAGCTATATACGATAAATTGATGGACGAACTTGAATTAAAACGTCAGCACACCGCAATAAGTAATGAAATGCTGACCACCACCAAAAGGAACGCAGCACGCTTAACCCAAGTTCAAGTGCGTGGTGAGAGAAACACATGTGCGGCTTCAAGGGATATATGTACAGCGCGTATTGCTGCATCGTGTATCTTCATTTTCAGAGTTGTCTGTTTGGGATGTTACTCCATCGAACAGAACATAAATACATCGGCTGGGAAAAAGTATTTCATTACACACTGAGTTAAGGTTATCCTCAGTTAGCTAGTTGTACAGAAGCTCTGTGCTTGCGAGTCATCCGTTTGATGGCTTTCGTGTTCTTTTCTGGTAATAGGTTTCACGTCATGTTCATTTTTGAGAAATGACTTTGTCGACGTACTTCGCGACATCTGTTTAAGCATCACAGCTTGATTCAAATCAATCTCGGTGTGCTCTGTACATAGTATCGGTGATGCCATGTGCCCTTTATTCTTTCTAGCTTGTTCGAGAACCACCCGGAGCTGAAACAATCCTTTCAATCTTTCCGAGGCAAGTCTGCGGAGGAGCTGAGAACGTCCAAGGAGCTCAGACAGCACGCGTCTCGGTAAGATCTTGAGATTGCCATCTGGGTGGAGTCTTGCAGGTAAACACCCCGTTACTATACTGCACCGCACGGCTGGTCTGTGCTGCGGGCCGGCGTCTGGCAGGCGGCTGCACTCGGAGCCCCCATTTCAGGTGGCTTCCCGCCTAGAAATGCTTAGTTTCATAGCCTTTTCCGAAATATACATTGTTTAATCGGAGGGTGACTTATTTATGGTGTATAGTCCATTGTATGCAAAGCCTCGTCTACGTATGCAGCCAAGTATATAACGTTTCATACTTTCGAGGGGAAAAATGAGCTCTATGCGTTGAAATTTAGAAAGCCAATGATTTAGGTCCCAACATAGAACTCTATGTGCCGATATGGCCCCAAAATACGCATCATCACATGAGTGATCATTTTTGAAAAGGTGTCATTTCATCTTTGCAGCACTTTCCACAGTCGAAATAAAGCCAGGCCTATGCAATGACTGCATTGCCGCACAGTAGAGTGCCCTATAAGTAACATCGCACATCTCTTTTTCGTCTCTTCTCCCCACGTGTCTCCGCAGATTTTTAGGGACACCAACAAACACTGTTGTGGTGGTAAAACAAACCATACACTCCCAACCCACGCACATCAATCAATATGATTGTCCAGTCAGCAGGGCAATGTGCAGAATGTTGTCTTTTTGGACTAGTGCCTAGCAGCAAAGTCCGTTGCGCCCCATAAATATCATGAGCGAGTAACTACCCTTCCCATCAATGCCCGTCACGGTTCGTAAACATCAATCGACGCTCTCGAAATGGCTGACAATAAAGGAAGTCTAGACTGCCGTACGCCTAACTTCAGGCCGCTATTAACGGCATTTCAGCACCAGGAAAGCGCATGATGAGGCCAAACGAAAATTTAGTGCCAGTGTCGCCATCCGCGTGGCATTACCGTACAAAAATGGCGTTCCGTTGCAGAGTTATGGGCTTCATAAACAAGATCATCGTCCGGCTGGACTCGGAAGAAACGTACACCGTCGATGATACAGGAGATGTGCTGCAGACACATGCTTTACCAGGCGCTTCCACGGGAAATGAAGGTAGGTTTCGTCTGGGCGTCGGCTCGTGTCCCACCCATGATTTCTCATCTGGCTGAGTCGTCTTCATCTCTTTTCAAACATATGATAATGTTTAAATGTAATGACTGCCCCGCTCTCTTGTAAAGCATCAGCAACGTTAAGTTCATTTGTGCGCCAGTTGTGATGTATGACAATCTTTTCTCAACGATAAGCAGCTTTGGAAGGGTGTCGCTTCTGAGACTTTGCTAATGAAACCGGTATGACATGTATGATTTCATGGTCCTGGTACACATGGGCTGGAGAGACAAGACATCTCTTTTAACGTGCGCGTCCTTGCACTTGATTGCTAAGTGCCGTGCTCGCTGCCAAAGGCTGGATGTCTTCATGATATACAGCACATAGGAAGCTGCATCTGGAAGCCGAGTGTGATTTTAGCATTGAGCTTATTTCCAAATATACTGGAATTCTTACGTTAATACAAAAACACGGTATTTCTGTTGATTTCGTTGCCGATTTGATTTCCCAGACTTTGGCAGTAATCACACAATTTCTTCCAGCTTACACTCCGCTTTCATAAAGATTGGGGGCGCGGCTTCAATCTCATCGTGGACGCATTCCTCGCAAATCATCCAAACATGTCCATACATAGTTGTGCTGGCATTCCACGCGCCCGTCTTATCCTCGCGTGAGCCCCGGCGTCGGTCCACCTCACCGCGCTTTTGGTAGCATCGGACCTGCCCACCTGTGACCCTGCGACCCCTGACCCACTGGCGGTGCCGTGACCTTCGCCAGATCCTGGGTCGCCAGTTCATTTCTGTCATCGCGTCGACGCTGCAGGCGGCGGGGAGATGGGACGACCAGGCGCAGACCGCCTGGGAAAACCTTTTCACGGTCAGTATCAACCCTCACCAGCTGCCTCCTGCCTGAGAGATGGAGAGCTTCCCACACAGACCCAACTTGCGGAATGATATTCTTTGGGCGGATTCGCGTGCCGTGCTTCCACTGGTCTGTAAGCAATCAGCGCCAACGACAAATATATTGCATCGGATGCCTGGGGTAGCCGCACTGACGTCACTGGCCGCGAGCAAGAAACGAGACTAGGCATAGTTTTTAGCTGTTTCGACAAACGTATTTTCCTGGGCGGCATCTTATTGGATACACGTAGCGTAATGTCAAACGCGTTACTTTACGGAGAGGGATGTGTCAAGGGGGTAGTATCGGATGCTGATGAGCATTGGAAGCGATCTCACTACGTTGCTGGATGATACGCGTGTCTGTTTGGATATGGAAAACACTGCGGCCTCAAGCTGCCTTTAAACGAGAGAAAGAGATTTCAAATCATTCAGAAAATGAAATGGAAGAGCGACGACGCCCAATCCGCGAAAAATACTGTTCATTTTCAGGTAAACATATGCCATACAAAAAGCTTGCAATGCAGTTATGCATGGTGTTGATTAAGCATGACATCAGAGCTATGTAATCTTTTTTGTAGCATCTGACTGGAAACAGTCACCATTTAAGCATACTGAAAGGCGCTAGTCCTCTTCCTACCTAAGTTTCTTTCTGTTCTTTGTTTCTTGATAAAAGAGACGCTGCCACGTCAATGAGGAATCGTGCTTTAGAAAAACATAGACTACCACGATTCATTTCCATTCCCTCACATCTCACAATGATTTATAAATTGAACGATCATACAAACTGGAAAATAGCCGAAGCGCTACTTAGAAGGATCCAACGTTTACAGTTAAATGCCAACAGTTTCTTGAAATGTTACGTGCATTTGAGCGGAAAATTATGCGCATAGATAAGACAGCAGTAATAGTCTTATTCCTCTGAGAAAAATCAGGAGAATGGATTTAGATGCGCGATATTTCGGCAACATGCCTTTATCAAAACGAATGGCAGAAGTGAATTTAAAATTGCTTGCCGATGATCCTACGCGATTCTTTTTTTTTAAACAGAGAGCCACATTTTTTACGGGACATCAACATTCAAGGGATTGAATAAGGAGCACTTACCAGCCTTTACTAAGATTCGGTGCATACCTAACTGAGGATTAGAATGCGCGAAAAATACGTGCACACGCAAACGACTTCGATTAAACAGGCATCGCGCATCACGCATAAGGTACCATTTACGCATGTAAACCATTATAACCTGGCACACATTACACACCAAGGCACACATCACGTTTGCATAATCGGCCGCGATGAGCCCTGTTCGGTAACACGCGCCCGGGTGGCCAGTTGGATGCCCTTCCGTCGGGTGGGGAGTCTCAAGAACTAAGAGGACTAGAGGTGCCCAAATTTACGGGGTGTGTTTCCTGTACCCTATCTCACTCAGGTCAAAGTTTGAGGTGCCCCCAGAACAGTGCCCCCAGAACCTAGATATCCGTCCGAGAACAAGGTCACATGATCATTTAAGGTCAGTGACCTTGTTTGAACTTAAGAAGGTCATTGTAACCAAAATCACACAGGGTTGCTTTGAGTTTTGTATTTGAAAAAGCGACAAAGATTACGCTAGGCAGCATGTTCAAAAAAACACAATGTTGACCTCGGTAATTTTAGGTCAGTGACTTATTATGACCTTTAGGAAGTGCATCTAATAATAATGCGGTCCTGCTATCACTTAATGAGAAATGAGCACCAGAAACGACCCCATACAGTGGGCCCTACAGTAATAAAACAGACTGGCTTGGAGCTTGGTCTGGCATTCAAAACTGAACTTAGGTCGGTGAAATGTGTTCATTCCATTGTTGAGTTGCCTGAGAAAGTATCTTAGAGATGTATGGTGTCGTCTAGCACTCCGTTGTTGCATCAGATTGAGTGATTTCCTAGGCATTGACTTCGTAGAATCTATGGCCTGACTTTGACCTGCTGTAGGTCAGAACCCTTGCATGGTACATTTAAATTTTTAACACCAAACCATTTGTGATTTAATTTTCTACAGCTCTGCAAAATTTGGCGCGGATGCGCCGCGCCGTTCGGAAAGCATTTTGGAAAACCTTTCGTGGGTCAATTTGACCCCCACACGAGCGCGTGTCAACGTTTGGTCGCCGACTATTTATGAGAATAAATTTGCTTATCCTCCTGTCTGGGTGGTCCTGTGACCTGTAGATGAACTTGAGACCT